ACAGAGGTGGGCCGGATCGAGATCTTCCCGGCTGAGACACTCCACCATATGAGGTTGGTTTGAGTTGAGCAAAGCATCGAGTACATCGATGGCCTTCGTCCCTCTCATTATTCCAACCCATGATGGAGGAGTCCCTAGAGCCAGAACTAGTCCGGAGGGCATCACTACCATCGCATCGTCGTGGCCATCACGAGGCATCATCATCCATCGTAGTTGGACCCTCTTCTACTTTAGATTGTCTAGAGGCACGAGTCACTACCTTGGAGGGCCAGTTTTATCTTTCCAGCTTGCTCGAGAGCGAAATGCATGCACACCGCTTGGTGGAGGATCTTGCGCATGTTTAAGGCATTGAGGTTCAAGATCTCGAGTGCTAGCCATCAGCTCCTTGCCGGCAAGCTTAGCCATTATTTGGACCATGTTGGCATCGTAGTACTTCCGCCTTCTTTCTCCCAGCTTTGACTCTAAACTCTTTGTTCATCCATTTCATGTGTTGAACTAGTACTACTATTGTGTTTGTTTTTCTTTTATGTGATGTTGAATAATGTTATTGTGTAATAACCTCACCTTGTGCGATTATGTGTTTGTGTTTGTCTCCTTGTGAAGCTCTCTCTCCCTCAAAACTGGTCCATCTCCAGTCCGACTTTCACTCGCCAATTTATGCGGTAACTTCATTCCACCCTTCTCTATGTGCCATTGGGGACAATGTCATGTTTAAGTGTTGGGGTTGCGTACATGTATATGTGATTGGCATGTGAATAATGAGTGTGAATGGTCTATTTGAATGTGTTGGAGCCTTGTTATTGCCAAATTCCTACAATTTGAGGGCTCCAACCACTTGTGCATGAATAAATGGTGAATGGCCAATATTGAGATGTGTTTTGTAACCTAGATTATTGCTTTAATTGAAAATTTTAGGTGTTCCAATCAAAATTGTCCCAAGCATGATCTTGCTCACTATGCTTAGAATTGTTTGATGATTATGATAGTGTGAGTTATAGGGAATAGTGAGGTGCCATGAAAATCTTTTGATAATGAGTCGCTTTACTTTGATTTCCTCTCGGTTGTGTGAAAATGTTTGTTATGGAGGTTAGGACATGTTTGTGACTTCCCAAGTAGGACTCCAAAATATTTTGCAAAAAGTGCTCCAATTAGATTTTTTTTTTTAAATTGAGGTTCTCACGTGAGAGGCAACCGGTCATAGTGTTTGATTTGACCCATCGAAGGGCTCTTCTCTCTGTTCGGAGTGGCATTGAGGATGTGTTTAGGGTTTTGATAGCTTTCTAACATCCCGATCATCTTTCAGTACCTTCCACCCCCAAACACTTCTCCTCCTCACAGGCTCGTATGGAAAGAGCAAAAAAGTCTTTTTTAATGAATCACGAGATCTCAGCTCTAGTTTGCACCCAACATGTGTGACAACCCGCGTGTTGTTGAGACGTGGAAGTGCAGGTTGGGAAGAAGTACTCGGGAAATGAATCTGACCATCATTTCCCCATATGGGGCCTTGATTTGCAAGATTGCAAAGTGGTGCCATGCATGGCAAGTTTAAGTTGAGGTTTGAAAATATGAGTCCTCTTTTGAAAAAGTGGAACCACCACCATGGAGTCCTTAGATTTTCAATGTTTTCTATGAGTCTCCCAGTGCACACATGAAGTGTCTAGACCTCCTTAGTTGACAATGTCCTCAACCGAGAAGAGATGGAAGTACAGTTTACCCGACTTTGATTATTCTCGAGGCACCACCGATGATTGACAATGCATACCATTGTTTTTGTCCTAAAAGTGTACTAGTTTGAGCAGGTTTTCTTTGGGACAAGCAAACGTTCAAGTGTTTGTGTGTGGGGGGGGGGGGGTTGATTCTGGTTAGATTACACACTTTTTCACCCCTTCTACTTGCGACGTTTGATGTGTGTGCACCATTTTGGAGCTAGTTTACGCGGTATGTGTTCTTGTTTTTGTCATGTTTCATACCTTAGCAAGTAATCTTGGTACCATAATAAAAAGTCGGACGAAAGTGGGCAAAAATGGAGCAAAATGGCTGAAAATGCAGAGATCACGGTTGCAGAGCAAATTTCACGGGCACAGACCATGAATTGGACATGAAAACCGTGAAGATAGCATTATTCCATGCATATTCGTATGGCTCGCGTGCAGTGTCAAGATCACGGTCTCCAAATCGTGATGGCAACAAGCAGCCCTTGAAGTTTGGTTGTGAAACAAAGCGTTTTGCGTTGAGATCACGGTTTCACCGTCGACTTCACGGGCATGATGTGAAACCGTGATTTGTGCACACAAGACCTATATAAAGGAGAGTGAGCTCATTTGAATGTAGAGAGTACATGAGAGAGATTGGAGCTTTTTCTTCAAGGTTTAGAGAGAGAGAGAGAGAGAGATACAAACTAAGAAGGAAGGATAATTCACCTACAAAAGGCTAGAGGATGGTTGATTTCTTCTCCAAAGGTTGAATCAAGCATCTAAGAAGAAGGAATATAAACTTGCAATGGGTATTTCTTCTATCTTATTTGTATGTTCTCTTCTAGCTAATGAGTAGTCTCCAATTTCACTTGGATGTTGTGAACCATGGTCTAGGATGTGTTAGATTGTAGGAAATGAACTCTATGTGTGCTGGGTTTGTGATTTATATAATGATTGAGGTATTATTCATGGAATTTGGGTGTTGTTGATCATGTCTCAATATTGGGACCAGTTGACCTAGAAGAAGGAATTCTCGTTATAGCCAACATTGGAAATTTGGGCAACCTTGTCTAGGCCGATTCCGCTAACCTTCTTTAGATCGATTTGGGTCATTCCTCATTCATCAAAGTAGTTCCATGATTTTGTCTTGATTGGTTAATTTTCACCATTCCAAATTATCTTTCGAGGGATTGATTTTCCAATCCTTAGTCGATCAATTAAGAGGGTTAGAAGTTCCTAGCTAATTGTGATCTTCTCGCGGTATATAATCCAACTTATCAGACTAGAGTTTCATTTGTTGTATCTTAGCACAAGACTAGAGTTCTTAGCTTCAACCACAAATTCAATCGCTAGATAACGTGTGAACTATTGAAGTAAGGGTGATAGATCGCCCAGATTGATATTAAAATACTTATCCTATCCTACACCTGTTTATAGGTTTCACTTGGGTTGTGGTTTGTTAGACCAAGAGGGGTCACTTCTTGAATACTTTTAACGGAGTCAATTTGTTAATTAATTCAGATTTCAATAGTGCGAAATCGGTACTAGCTTGAGTGAGCTACCTAAAGAGTTTTTCAAATATTTTTCTTGAAATGATTAATTAGTTTTGACGAACTTGTTCTAATTAAGATAGAAGTTTTCACTTCTTTGCAATAATAGATGGAACAATATTGAAAGGAGAGTAGAGAGATGAGACGCGACACACGATTTTAACGTGTTTTGGCCAATATGGCTTTACATCCCCGTCTCGGAGATAGTCACTACTATTTTTTGAGGACTATAACTTTTATTGAAAGACTCTCTAACCTATGAGATAAAGACAGCCTTGACACCACGTGTCAAGAACTAAATAGGTGCAACTCCACACCTATTCAACCCTTAGGTAAACCCAAGCTAAGCTACCCATTCACTCAATCAAGCCAACACTCTTAGTCCAGCTTGATTGAAGAGTAATCCTCTTAGTGCAACTTTCAAGCAAGACCCCACTCTTGGTCTTGCACTGGCCCCAATTACAAATACCCTTCCCACCCTAAAACTCGACCTAGTTTGACTATCTCAGCTTTTGAGATATCAAGCTACTCACAAGAAATAAGATCTCACTATATTGATATTACAAGGGAGAAGAGAACTTTGCAAAATGTACTCTAGCCTACAAATGACTCTACTATTTTTAGTAAATGTGAAGCTTCATTTCCTTTCATTTGAAGTCCTCCATGTGACAGGTATCTCCTGGATTTGATATGCTCTTTGTTTGATATGACAACTCCTTTATGGGCAAGCAATCACTTTGAATTCTTTCCTTTTCCTAGCAAATTCTTTCACCTTCATCTTGATTGTGATATTTCTACATGGATTGTTAGTTCAACATAATTGCATAGATTCAAATCAAATTGACCTACGGTATTATACTTGCTAGGTCAAGCTTTTTGACTCAACATAGTTGGGATTGTGTGTAGTGGTAGGCGAGTCAATGCCCATCATTCAAAGTGATCAATCTTTCCACCCATCGAGCTAAATAAGAAGACGTCATTATAAATCCCGATACAATCACGAAAGTGCTTGCCAGCTTCATTGTTATATTGCAAGAAATCTCTTAAGAATTTAGGAGGTTCTCGAGCCGGTGGAAGTTTCACTTTGCCTTCTTTTTGCAACAAAGTCCAAAATTTGAAGACTCTGACTTTAGAGGACGAGATGTACTTTCTTCTTTCCACATAACAGCTCCACAATATTGACATGTGCTCTCAAAGGAGGGCCAAGCAAAAAATATTCCATATGCTTGGAACCTCGTATGTTAAATGGAACATTAATTAGAAATAATACATATATATAAATTGTAAATAAGCAACATATTCAACATGTATCAACAATATACCTTTTCGAGTAGACAATGATCTTTCCCCCTTTTTGGCAACAATTATTTTGATCTTTCTATTCATGTAGTTAACTTTAGTATTTAGCTTAGCAAATGAACAGTTGCCGCCTGTAATATTGATTGGAAATTAGATTATGAAATAGTCCCGACCAAAACCCGTGATATAGAAGTGTAGTTGATAATTAATCAAACTACGTGTAGTTGGTTGTGATTTCCGGTTAAACTGCAAATCAAAAACCAAACTTCCACCACTACTCATAGCAACTAATCTCATTTCATTAAAGAAGTTATGAAATGAAATGAATCGCAAAGCTCGATCGATTTGTCCCGGTAGTACCTTAGTCCACGTGGCGAGGAGTCGAGAGGGATCCCCTAAGCTTCTGCCTAGCCAATATGCGGATTGCTGATGGCAATCGTGTAGTTGTCGGATAAAACTCAAAAAAGAGAGTTGATTTTACAACAAAGGGGATTAGGCACTGCCGGATACACAGATAGAATTGCATTCAACACACCAGTAGGCTCTGCCAATGGCGCTACCATCCTAGCAATCTTTATTCTCCACCTGTGAGCTATCCCCGCCGTGATTAAACTGTCGTCGGTATCCTAGCTCCCATAGAATTCAATTAACGCCTGCCGCAACCTACTACTAAGTCCTCCTGCTTCAGAAAGAAGAATCCGAAACCTAGCTAGCCTAGGGTTGTTGCTGAGCTCCTCCACCGCCATGGCGGTTACCGAGGAGGAATGCTCCAGCGCCAAGTCCCGATCCTCTTCCGCTTCTTCCTCCTCCGCCCTCGTCGGATCCGCCCGCTCCCCCCATTACCTCGCCAAGTGTGTCATTCCCGGGAGCGCACTTCTCCACGTCGTCTCTGCTCACTTCCGCTCCCCTTCCTCCTCCGACATCGTCTTCGGCAAGGTTCTTCCTCTCTCCCTCGCTGCTTCCCACCAGCCCCCCACATCTTAGTTTCCGGCTCATTGCATACCCTTTTAGTTTTGTAAGGTGATTGAGCACTGTCTTATTATGCAGGCAACGTCCATAGAGCTAGTAGCGGTAGGTGAAGATGGGGTTCTACAGTCAATATGCGAGCAGCCTGTGTTTGGTACCATTAAGGATCTTGCTGCTGTACCATGGAGTAGCCAATTCCATGCCCGTACAACGCTGGTCCGTAGCATCTGAAAAAAAAGTTCCTTTTTTTTTTTATGGAAAGAGTGAACTGAGTTTGCCTGAATGGTCTGTCCAATTCGATTATAGATGCAGGGGAAAGACCTTCTTGCTGTTGTTTCAGACTCCGGGAAGCTCTCATTTCTCACATTCTGCAATGAAATGCACAGGTATTTTGTTTTCCCTTTCCTTTTCCCCAGTTGTGTTTCATGAAGTTCAATGCTGGTCAAGGCAGACACTTTCCGCCCTCCTTGTGGTTGACTTTTGCCCTCATGATAGGTTTTTTCCTTTAACACACATCCAACTTTCAAATCCTGGAAACTCAAGGCATCAGCTTGGGAGAATGCTAGCTGTCCATCGCAGGCAAGTTGCTATGTTCTGTTTGGCACACATTAGGATTTGGATCTGCAATATATTTTGTTCCTTCTTTTTGTACAGTAATCCCATTTCCAGACAATCGATCTGTTAGGACAGATTTTATCTTCCTTGGTCAGTTGTTGCTATAAAAAAAAAAGGTTATACAAAAATGAAATGTCAGACAAGAAAATGGCATAATATGCCAATGTAATGTAGTTCGGTTGATTTATGATTAGCTATTGGAACCACAATGCTTGGTTGAGGAAATACTGATCTGGTGCTAAGAAGGAGCTTTATGTTGCAAAAGAAGCATGTAGCCTAGTCAAACTCTGATCTTAAAGCATTTAAGTCCATCCTAATATTTCGAAGATGCTTTTGACATTGTGGATTATTTATATAATTTTGGTACGTTGCATTTTGCAGTGGCTGTTTTGTCGCCACTACTGCATATGAAGATCGTGTAGCTCTGTTCTCCCTTTCAACTTCTGGTGGCAGTGACATAATCGATAAGGTTAATGTCCTTTTCCCCTTCAATCGTACCTGCATTTGCTTTATTTGTTGGTGGAACAGCTGATAAATGTGTGATACTTTCATTTGTGCTAATTTCAGAGAATAATTTATCCTCCTGAAAATGAAGCAAACACAGGTGTTGGTAGAGGTAATCGGCGATTGAGTTTCTCTGGCACAATTTGGAGCATGTGCTTTATCTCAAGACATTCTAGTCAATCAAGTAAGGAACATAATCCGGTACTAGCCATTGTAATTAACAGGTAATCATGTGTATGGTCAGTTGAAAGTTTAAACACTTACAAATCATGTTAGATGAAAAAGACAGAACACACAATGATTCTGCTCTTTTTATTATTCACAAATTGATGTTTCGGTAATGCAGGAGAGAATGCCTTATCAATGAGTTGCTGTTGTTGGGATGGAAAGTTAGAGAAAACACTATAGGTGTTCTTTCCCGGTTTGCTGATTCTGGACCCTTGGCACATGATATTGTTGAAGTTCCTCATTCTAATGGATATGCCTTCTTGTTTAGGGTTGGTGATGCCCTTCTGATGGACCTTAGAGATGCTCATAACCCTAGTTGTTTATCTAGGATAAGCCTCAATTTCTTGCCTGCCACCCTAGAGGAGCATAATTTTGTTGAAGATTCATGTAAAGTCCACGATGTTGACGATGACGGTTTATTTAATGTTGCTGCTTCGGCTTTGCTGGAGCTTCGGGATTATGATCCCATGTGTATAGATGGGGATGGTAGCAATGTAAAATCAACCTCCAAGCGCATGTGCTCCTGGAGTTGGGAACCAGTATCTGATAAAAGTGCAAAGATGATTTTTTGTCTAGACACTGGAGAGTTTTTCATGATTGAAGTTTCATTCGATTCAGAAGCTCCCAAAGTCAACCTTTCTGATTGTCTCTATAGGGGGTTACCATGCAAAGAGCTTATGTGGATTGAAGCTGGCTTTTTAGTTGCGCTCGTGGATATGGGGGATGGGATTATCCTCAAAGTAGAAAATGAGAGACTTCTGGATATAAGCCCCATTCAAAATATTGCACCAATATTGGATATATCAACTGGAGATTGCCATGAAGAGAAGCGTGATCAAATGTTTGCCTGCTGTGGTGTGGCCCCTGAGGGATCATTAAGGATTATCCGTAGCGGCATCAGTGTTGAAAGGCTACTGAAGACTGCTCCTACGTATCAGGGTGTAACTGGCACCTGGACAGTTCGCATGAGATTGCGTGACTTGTATCATTCTTTTCTTGTTCTCTCATTCGTTGAAGAGACCAGGGTTCTGTCTGTTGGAGTAAGTTTTACTGATGTGACTGATTCTGTTGGTTTACAGCCAGATGTGTCTACTTTAGCTTGTGGACTAGTAGGTGATGGTTTGTTGGTTCAGATTCACCAAGCTGGAGTTCAGCTTTCTATGCCCACAAGGATTGCTCATGCTGATGGCATACAACTGTCATCTCCAGTTTGCAAATCTTGGTCTCCAGACAATACAAGTATCAGTTTGGGTGCAGTTGGTCAGAATTGGATTGTTGTTTCCACTTCTAATCCTTGGTTTTTATACGTTCTTGGTGTTAGAATGCTTTCAGCATATGAGTATGAAATAATTGAAATGCAATGTGTAAGGTTGCAAAGTGAGTTATCTTGCATTTCTATACCTCAGAAACAATTTGAGCAAACAAGAACAAATTCAGCCAAATCCATGCATAGTGCAACTGGTTTTCCAGGTGGGGTTGAGGTAGATAAGACCTTTGTTATTGGTACACATAAGCCGTCAGTGGAAATTCTAGCTTTTGACCCTAGTGAAGGCTTGAGAGTTATTGCTTCTGGTACAATCGCTTTAACAACTGCAATGGGGACTGCTATAAGTGGGTGCGTGCCTCAAGATGTGAGACTTGTACTAGTTGACCGATGTTATGTTCTGTCTGGTTTGAGGAATGGTATGCTATTGCGGTTTGAGTGGTGTTCTGCAAGTGCAATCCCTTCGTTTGGTGCATCCACTCTGAACTCTCCTATCAGTTGTAGTTTGGTCAACATTGGCAATACTACTGCAATGCATCTTGAACCACATGCATGCTGCTCATCTGATATGATAGCGGATGAGCTTCCTGCTACACTGCAATTGATTGCAAGCCGTCGCATAGGCGTTACTCCTGTATTCCTGGTTCCTTTAAGTGATTCACTTGATGCAGACATAATTATTCTCAGTGACAGGCCGTGGTTGCTGCAAACTGCAAGGCACAGCCTCTCGTACATATCCATTTCATTCCAGGCAGCAACACATGCAACACCCGTATGCTCAGCTGAATGCCCTAAAGGAATTTTATTTGTTGCCGATAACAGTTTGCATTTGGTATGTATCAGCCTTGTTATGGCATTTGTTTTAACATCAGCTTACCGACTTCAATGCTTAGCTTCGCATGGACAAATTGTTCTTGAAATAGGTCTTTTCATTATTGCTTATCAAATAACATGGATGGCTGTTGAAGCTATGGCGGCTACTAGGATGATCTGTTGTTGTCAACACTGATTTTCCTTATGCAGTAGACTGTGCAATTTCAATTCCTTGTCTGCTAGTATATAGCATTTGGCACTAAAGCTAGTTAATTGGTCATTCCAATTGATGCATGTCTGTTATTTGTGATCTGGTGGATATAGGAAAATGTCGCCATAACTGAAATCTTGAGCAGGAACTTAGCTATTAAATGTTACCTGGACATGTGAGATATCAGTTCATTCTGCAATTTGGTACATGATGAACAACTCCATAGACCCATTCTTATTTTTGCTGAGTATATTTTGTGGGAAGCATGTCAGAATCTGTTTCTCCAAGGTAACTTAGCTTATAGAAATAGAAAACTGATAAAATATCTGATGTAATCTATTGTAAAAATTGAATTTGAAATTGATGGCCAATTGTAGTTAGTATGCTGTTGTTGAAACTTCTTGTTGGTTCCGTGAATGATGTTTTCTCACTAGATGCTTTTCTGTTCTTTCGCGTGGGTTTGTTTTAGTAAGATGTCTAATGCACTTTTGCATCAGGTGGAGATGGTAAGTACTAAGAGGCTTAATGTCCAGAAGTTTCATGTCGGAGGTACACCGAGGAAGATTCTCTATCACAGTGACAGCAGATTATTGTTCGTGATGAGGACTGATCTGAGTGATGATACATGTTCATCTGATATATGTTGTGTTGATCCTGTTAGTGGATCCATAGTTTCGTGTTTTAAACTTGATCTTGGAGAGACTGGCAAATCCATGGAGTTGATAAGGGTGGGAAGTGATCAGGTTCTCGTGGTTGGAACCAGCCTTTCCTCTGGCCCAGCTATCATGCCCAGTGGTGAAGCCGAAAGGTAAACTGCCTATCTCTTGCTCTGTCATTTTTGGCTTCTAATTTTAGTTTGTTCATTCCAAACAATAATGCTTCTGGTGAGATCTAGCTTTAAAAGAAGCATTGGGAGTAGTTCGACTGATGTCAATAATTTTCATCAACAGTACCAAAGGGCGTCTGCTTGTCCTCTGTCTGGAACACTTGCAAAATTCAGATAGTGGTTCGATGACATTAGGATCAAGGGCAGGATCATCTTCTCAAAGAACATCTCCATTTCGCGAGGTCGCTGGATGTTCTATGGATCAACTATCAAGCAGTAGTCTTGGCAGCAGCCCTGATGATACCAGCTGTGATGGAGTTAAACTTGAGGAAACTGAAACTTGGCAGTTCCGATTGGCTTATTCGACAGTATGGCCAGGAATGGTGCTTGCAATGTGTCCTTACTTAGACCGTTACTTCCTGGCATCTTCTGGTAGTGCTGTAAGTCACAAGATTCCCTGTCTCTGCTTCAACACTAGGCAACGCTACCTTTTCTTATGAAGTTTTTATTTCCTTTCCTCAGTTTTATGTATGTGGATTTCTGAATGATAACCCACAAAGAGTGAAACGGATTGCTGTTGGGCGCACACGCTTTATGATAATGTCATTGACTGCACATTACACTAGGATTGCCGTTGGTGATTGCCGCGATGGGGTTCTCTTTTACTCTTATCATGAGGTAAGCAAATTTCCTTCTGTCCTAGCAACACTTCCCAGCTGGTGTAGCTTTTTGGAGTATAAACCGTTGCTGTGGTCTTAGGATGCAAGAAAACTGGAGCAACTTTATTGTGACCCTTGTCAGAGATTAGTTGCCGACTGTGTCCTTATGGATCTGGACACTGCTGTGGTTTCTGATCGGAAGGGAAGCCTTGCTATTCTATCATGTTCAGATCGTTTGGAATGTAAGTCTAGTATTCTTCTGTTTTGGAGGAACATATGTTGCTTCTCAGACATGCCTGTTCTCTGGCAGTATTGTCTCTAGGAGCTAGGCTTGCTTGAGGAATAGTTTATTTCTTGCCGGTCTTTTTGTGCAATTGTCTTGTGATTTACGTGGATATGACCGAGCAATTATTATACGATCCAAATGGTTATACCAAAAATTATCTGTCTTTCGCTGCAAAATTTCATAGAGCTACATACACATATACTCCAGCTTCTATTTCCCTGCTCCTTTTTTCTTCGATCTTGAAATGTCATCACAAATTTTGTCCGCTGTGTGTAATGCTGTCCTATTTGTATATAGTTGTGTTGCAAATAGGTTGATTTCTCATCAGTAATAATGATGACGCCGCCTTCGAACTAGATAACCATTGCTGTGTCAATAGTTGGACTAAACTGGATGTGTGTCCGTGATGTCTGATCATCTTTTCCAGGTAATGCGAGTCCAGAGAGCAACTTGAAATTGAGCTGTGTTTATTACACTGGTGAGGTAGCCATGAGCTTGAAGAAGGTGAGTCTTGCATTTTCTCTTACAAGTGAGTTGCGTTCCTTTTATCATGAACTGGAACTCTTGAATATTCTTTAGTATTGAGGATAGAGGATGTGATTTATCCTAGTTGGCAGAGTTTCTACTCTTTGGCGTTTCTCAGCAATCGTGATATCTTAATGATAATAGGATTACTGAAAAGTGATAGCTGTTTAGTTCACAACCATCACTCCACAGGCGCACTATTTCTGTTTTAACTTATCCTTTATTGGCTTGCTCGGTAAGAGCGAGGGTCGGAGATTTTTATTTATTCTTAATATCTGACGTTGTTCTTTGATGAAATTCTGTTTTGTTTCAGGGTTCTTTTTCATATAAACTCCCTGAAGATGACTTGCTGACTGGATGTGATGGCATTCTTACTAATGTTGATGCATCGAGCAACACTATAGTGGCTAGCACTTTGCTAGGGAGCATAATAGTCCTTTTCCCATTGTCAAGGTATAATTAATTAATAATTTAGGATGCAATTTTTTAATGAATTGAAGAAGATGAGATTTGACGACCATTACTTAAATTTCCTTTCGATTACTCTGTGACAGGGAGGACCATGAACTCCTAGAAGCAGTTCAAGCTAGAATTGCAGTCCATCCTTTAACTGCTCCTCCTCTTGGGAATGATCACCACGAGTTCCGCAGCCGTGAGAACCCTGTAAGAATATGTTTATAAACCCAGTTTCATCTTCTTTCATCAAATGGCCTCTATGCCCTTCTCACAATCTCTTCTGGATTTTACAGGTCAGAGTAGCGAAGATACTAGATGGTGATATGCTGGGTCAGTTCCTGGAGTTGACACATGCCCAACAGGAAGCAATAATATCAATGCCGGTTGCATCATCATCGAATAATAAAGTAGGCAGCTTGAAAGCAGCCTCAACTACTCCAATCTCGGTTAGTCAGGTGGTTCAGATCTTGGAACGGGTTCATTATGCTCTCAACTAGCTGCAAAGCATCACCATCATGATTTGTTACGCAGACAAAATAAGTCTGCACCAAATCCAGGCAGGGAATTATGGAAAGTTGTTGCAGGCCGATTTTTGTATGTACAGACTTGTGTGAGAAAGAGGTCTGTGAAAATGTTGTTCCCTGGAAATGGGAACGAGGGTGGTAGTCCGGGCAATGGTGAGAATAATGTGATGAGATCTGTATCATAATAATCATGTCACTCCCACCCTGTGTGATATAGTTTTATAGAAGCAGAAAACCACTGGTTGTAGCTGAAGGAACAGTGGAATCTCCTATGTAACTGATCAGGACACACCAACAAGGATTGGGCTGAAATATGAATTCGATATCATCCTTGGTCACTTAATTTCGTCATCCCCATTTTGACACCAAGAAATGAAGTAGTTTCTAGAAAAAGAAAAGCATCTATTCTGGATAACCCGGGGCACCTTCCTTCCCTATGTGTCAGTGCCATTTTTCTCTAAGGTGGAAAAAGCCAAATTTTGTAATGGAGTTGGGCATCCCATTAGTAAACCGACTTGGGCTGATTCACCCGATTCAGATATTATTGATCGATTTCTCTGTATATGCAAAAATCTTTCTCATTATTATAGTGGATCCTCAAAAAAAAATTTCCCTTTCCATTTCGTGACGAATGGCTCGTTCCCGCTCCCATTCCCAATGATTTAGCAGGCCCTGAAAAGCGCGAAGCCGCTTTACGTTTTTTCTTCTGATCTCCTCTTGGTGTTTAGAGTTGAGAAAACATTATGATTCGATTGGCCAGCAATCTGGAAATGGTCTATCCTATATATCTGTACTTATCCAAATCTGCTGCAGAACTATTTTTTTTTTTTTTTTTTTGTTGTTGATAGAGCTACAGAACTATTGAAAAGCAAAACAACCCAAAAAAATGTTCAATGTTTAAGGAAGTGATGCCAGCGTTTGAAGCATTCTGAGTTCGGTTTGGGAAGAGCCCTACGCGGACCTTGACCTTTCTCTCATGTCGAGGAACTACTATGGAATTTGTTACCATATATATCTTAGTGGACTATGATATAAGTTCTTCAAGAACTGGTAGTTTGATGTGACTTGTGATGCAAACCTCTAAAATCTTAGTTATGGTGCCTGTGGATTAGACTTTTTGCATATACTGGAGCAGGTTGCAACATTTGTTTGGGTGGAGGGCAAGTTAGCTTGGTGGAAGGCAAGGGTTGTTGGGTGGTTGTTTGGAAATAAATGTTACTAGTCTTTACTCCATTCTCCATAAGATGATGCTGCAGCTGAGATGTACAGAAGTTCATGGATAATCTTCTTGCACCATATTGGCTGGTTTGGCCATAAGGTCGATCCAATTTGGTATACAAATATTTCGAAAGTTTTTGTTGGTCAGATATGTGGTTAAACAGGTAATTTGCGGTATATTGGTTAGTTTTGGTCCTCTTTGTTGAATATGTTAATTGAATAGCGGTACTACATATGGAGAGGGAGGGGTTAGGGTTCTTGGGAGCCATCTGGTCTCCGTATGAATGAGCAGTGTAGTCTTGATTTCATAAAGGCAGTGGGCAGTAGCCATTATTTCAAAAAGACAGAATCCCCTTTTTTCCCCAACTGACAGCACCTCAGCATAATCATTACTATCCTTCATTCATTCGTCAATACCAATTCATTGCCCACCAAATTTGTTGGACTTGCACTTATTCCCCTCAACCCCACACGAGTTCCTTCCTACTGGGTAAGATTTTAGTGGGGAAAACACAGTCCCTAGGCCCTTGAACAGTCCAGCACACACTCTAACTCCATCACACATTTGCTTCAAAACAGATTGACATCTCTCAACATACTGACACAATAATAACATTATGACTAATGGAATAAGTGGCTGAAAAGCTGGTCTCTTCACAACTCTGAACTATATGGGAAAGATAGATAGGCAAATCCATCATCCCAATAGCCCACAGGAGTCCCCCCATAGTATGTTTAGATTGAAAGGATTCTCTCTGCCAGTTTGGATATCTCTTAGGCTATGAATGAGCTCTTGTTTTCTTTTTCGGCAATAATACCAGGATTTCTCAACAGGTCATTCGTTTTAGTATTACTCGAGCTCAAACTCGTTCAGACTTTTTTGGAGTTCTGGAAAAAAATCCAGGGCATTAGTATTGGCTATGACTGAGATTTTTCCAATTCAAAACTTCTCACTTTGAGATTTTTCCAATTGTCCACAACAGTTTGGATTTCCTCATAATTCTTTAGCAACCATTCACTCCCTGCCTACTGTGGCATGCAATAGCAATACCCTCTTTGCTTGCGTACATAAGCATTATTATTAGTCTTTCAAGCCAGGTCTTAGGTTTCTAAACAAATCTCCAATTACCACCAAAGACTTTTGTGGTTAACTTAATCATTTGATAAAGTGATTGTTCACTTCACTGCTTGAAATTCTGACGCATGGATTGGCTGCTCTCAAAGTCAAAGTCATATGGCTCCAAACTCAAGGGTCCAAGAAGAAAGTGCCAGAAAGCAAAGATTTTTAAGTTGCTAGGTTCATATCACAGCTGATATCACCTCTTTTTTTTTTTTTTATCAACAGTTATCAAAGAAACAGTCTTTGTGCTGGGTTCACTGCAATTTGCAGGCCAAAACCCTACACTAAATAAGACAAACCAATGAAAATTCTTCAACCCCCATTTTCAATCACAGAATCTCCAGTCCTTCTGATGTCTTAATCATTAGGTTTTGACATCAAAACTTTTTTGTTGAACTCTTCAAGAAATTGTTTCTATAATAGAATTGTACCTTTCTAACATCCCTCCATTATGAAACCCAAGAGAGCTATATATATTCTATCCCAAACCAAGCCACTGAAGCCACAAACAGAGAATTTAATACTCTTATCTCTTCCTCCCTTCCTCTGCCTCTCTTCTTCATCTGAAACGTCAATGGAGTCTATAAACTACGTCCCCCATGGTGGCCTTGCTGCAGCACTAAATGCCAACATATATGGAAATGGAACTCAAACCTTGGTCCTTTCCTATGGCTATGGTTTGGACCAAAATGTTTGGCAGCTCCTCCTTCCTTACCTTGTTTGTTGCTTCAAGGTCCTGACTTTTGACTTGGCTTTCTCACCAAATGTCAGCCCCGATTTCTACAAACCAAGCAAGTACTCAACACTCCATGGCTATTCACAGGACCTGGTCAACCTTCTTGACGAGCTTCAACTCAAGAACACTGTCTACCTTGGTCACTCCATGTCGGCCATGATTGGCTCCATTGCTGCAACACAAAGACCGGACCTTTTCCAACACCTCATCTTGCTCAGTGGCTCTCCAAGGTGAATGGGGGGAAAAAAAAAAAGAAGAAGGAAAGATTGAACAATCTTGTAGTACAAGGAAACTGAATGTGTTTTTCTTTTGGGTTCGGTTTACAGGTATCTTAATGATAGTGGTTACTTTGGGGGGTCTGAGAGGTCACAGCTCAACACCCTCTTCAACACGATGGAGAAGAACTACTCGAACTGGGTTCACAACTTTGCGCCAGCAGCAGTTACCGTGAATGACAAGGAAGCCATAGCAGAGTTTGAGCAGAGCTTAGGAAGGATGAACTCTAAGGTAGCTGTGGATGTTGCCAAGGCAGTGTTTCTAGGGGACCTGAGAAGGGTTTTACCTAAAGTAACAGTGCCATGCTCTGTGATCCAATCTAAAGAAGACTTATTTGTCCCAGAGTTTGTGGGGCATTACATGAAGAAGAACCTTGGTGGCCCTGCAAAGCTGAAGTTCCTCAAGGCTCAGGGGCATTTCCCACAGCTCAACGCTTACCGTTTGCTCCTCAAGGCTTTGAAGAAGTTGCATTTGATTAGTGGGATTAAGAAATGCAGTCCTTCATTGTTGTGAGTTGGTGAGGGTTTGTTTTTCCTTTTTTCTTTAAATTGAGGGAGGTGATCACGGTCTAATAAAGCTTTGATATATTTGTGTTGCTCAATGCCTTCTGCCCCAATTTACTGCTGGATTGAACATAAATCATAACTTCATCAGAAACTGATAAGACATTGTCGGTTATTATAATTGGAACAACATACACAGTGGCAGATCTAGAAATTTTTAACAGGATGTCCTCTTAAAAAAAATTAAAATAAAATAAATAATTCATAAATAAAAAAATATCGGACCGGTACAAATTTTAACATAATGTCACGACTCACGACGTGTTTTTATATTCTGAAAAATAATAAAAAATAGGCTTGGTACATTGCCAACAAATCTGTATATCCTATTAGACAATAGAACAACAAATGAGTTGCAACTTAATGGAGGACAATGTTAAAAAAATATAGTATATCATAAGTTTGAATAACACAGACTCTCGCTTATTTTTTTTAAGTATATGCAAACAACTACTGAGGATAGGATTATCGTTGTAGGGGTGTCCCGAATCACTAATTATAATTTTTTTTATCCATACAAAACTATTACCGGGGTTTGAATAATCGTATTCCCAAATTTTAGGGGTGTCCCGAGACACTCCTAAACCCTCATGTATCCGCCCCTGACTTACAATATGCATATGCAGAAGCAGCAACAACTTTCACCTGTTTGGATGAAAAAGAGTGCTTCCTTTCCTTGTACCATTCAATCGGGAGCAGATACAGTCAGTAATCTTGTGGTGCAATAACCCCATGCATAAGTCAAGAAGAATCCGCCACATCAGCGCCTCCTTCTCTCTGCTCGGAAAAACTTTAATTTTTCTTCTCTTAATCTTTAACGGATGATTTCTCACTCGTTTTAAGTCGGAGTTGTGTCTAGTCGAAATGAAACACTAATGAGGGAGAAAGAGAGGAATAAGATAGTGAAGTTATAAAATAATAATAAATATGAATGAGTTCCACTAATTCCATCTCCATAAATCCAATTCCTATCACTTTTAATAGGATTTCTAATTTTCATTATTGGGTCAAAATGAAATTCATTTTCCAACCTTTTGACCATTCCAAACATAGAATAATGAAATAAAATTGAAAATAGAATTCAAATTCCTGAATTTTTTATCAAACATACTGTTTAGGCGGTAAGAGAATGAAAGGCAGAATTTTTGTTTTTACACTCAGTTTCTTCCCTTTTCCAATAGGAATAGAACAAACTGCTACGTGTTGACATCGGTGAAATTCCATACAAGTGGACAATACAGTACAATTTAATGGATGAAGACGAAAAGCAACTTTTCAGCTCGTAAATCTATGTCGAAAATACTTATTGAGCCTCAACCTCAAGCATAACAAGAAATAGAGGAAAAGGGTCAATGAAATTTACCTTTGAAGTGCAACGTTGGTACCAACCACAACCAGTTGCTCTTCGTCAAATATATATGGTTTCACAAAATCTTATGCAATTTCAAAACACAACCTTCAACTTAAGAAATATCCTTCTATCTTTCCAAGTCTTGAATTTGTAAGGTAATATTTGTCTATTCCAACCGTTAAAATATTTTTGTGTTGTGAAGTTATACAATTTCAACACTCGAAAGAAGAAGTCATGAGCCGTTCACTTGATCTCCACAACAAATTGGGGGGGGGGGGGGGGGGGGGGTCGGGGTTTTATTAGTTAGTAATAATCATTATTGTAGAAGCTTTGGCTTATACTTAAACAATAAATATTGTTTGTTATATTTTATAAGGGAAGGAAATACAGCCACATGGTCAAGTGGCTTAAATCCATAGCACATGTGAGCAGATAATGAATTTTCTTAAACTTATAAAATAACTTTCAGAACAGAAGCGTGCAATCGATAATTCAGACTAACATGAACGAACACAAATTTAACGTGGTTCACTAACACAATGTGTGCTAGCTAATCTACGGGCAGGGGGGACAAATTTCACTAATTTGAGGAGAGTACAGGTTACAAACCAAATTCCAAACGGACAAACCAAACAAATTAACCTGACTGACCTTACTACAGATTAGGGTGGTGAAGAGTATTTATAGAACTCTTCTCCTAATCCCAAACAAAAAACCAAACACCTTTTCCCAAACATAGAAGGAAAAGGTCAAAACAAAGTCCAAACACAAAACCAAACCAAACAGGCCCAAAACACCAAAACAAACCCAATTAAATTCAAGTCATATTCTAACAATCTCCACCTTGAGTTGAATTCTCTCTCAAATACCAGATGTACCAGACGTAACCAAAGTTGCCAAATGTACCCAACCGCGATACATATCGCCAGATGTATCCAAATGCGATCGAAACCGCCAAACTCAAACGCGATGCAAAATCGCCAAACTCAGATGCAATCAAAATTGCCAGACTTACTAACTCCTCCAAATCAGCTGTACCAGAATCTCCCCTGCCTCCAAATGCTCCTAAGGGCGGTCAACAACTCAAACCATTCGGCAAGTCCAATCCATACTGAGACTTGCTGATGACTCGATATTTGCACATGTTTTCCCCTTTGTTTCTTGATTGTTTGAGCTTTAATTATCGCGTCTTTGGCCTATTTTACGCAAGGTTGTGTTCCTTTGTCACATTTCAGGTCCTAGCACATAAAGTGAAGCATAGGCGCAAGTTTCAAGTCAATCAGAGATCAATTGGCGATTCGGGAGAAGTAACTCGGGCATGACATGAAGAAGAATGGATTTCTACCTAACTGTATGGACAAAGAATCATGCAAGCTTGTCATTAAAAGAAAGTGGACGAGACTACGAGCGTCTGGGATCAAACGACGACTGATTCGAAGTCCGGACGAGGGAGAAATGAAGCATTGAATATAGGAGAACATGTTCGGCAGTAAAAACACGGGCAGACTACCCTAAAAACACGGCTGTGTTTTATCTGACACCCGCTAGTGTTTTTACTGCCGAGAGCGTGTCGTAAGGGTTGCTGGAGGCAAAACACGGGCGGGCAAAATTAAAACACGGCCGTGTCCTCGACCGTGTTTTGCCCAGAATCGGATTTTTGAGGCAGATTCAAGCCAAAGGAAAGGGAGAGCTGGATTTTGGTTCCCAAACACCCAAGGAACGAACCCTAGAGAGAGAGAGCGACTTGGGAACATTCTTGGAGCTATTTTGGAGGATTTCTTCGCAATTGGAGCTCGGGAATCAAGCTTGGAGATGGAGATTGAAGATCTAGATCAGATTTATGCAGTCTCTCTCTTCTCTATGGAGTAACTTCCCTTCACTTAGGTTTTGAGGAACCCTAGTTCCATGTGTTAGGATCTTTCTTGTATGAAGTTTTGGATTCTATATTGTTTGATTATAATCGATTGAGGCATGATTTATTGAGTCAATTGAATCTTGATCAAATTCTCTTGATTTCTGCTTTAACCTATGATAGATAGAATCTGATTAAGTTAAGAGAGCTTCCTTGATTGATAGTGGTGAATTGGTTGTGCGAGAGTCAATCAATTCACTGCTTTGTACTGGAATTCATTCCAGTAGTGGAGATCTGTGTGAATCACCTTAGTAGCCTATCCCGGTGAAGGCTAGTCGCCTACCGGGTATTCTGTCTAAGAAGGCTAGGTCAGCTTAAGAGATTCCAAGCTAATTTAGGATCTTCCACAATTTAATCAACAGTAGATCAACCAAAGGTAATTGCAACTTGGACCTAATTGAGGAGCTAGGGGGAATCATACCTAAGTGAGTTCCCAACTTGTAATTAGTAGAGTAGTTACTAGAGTAGTTTAGTAAATCAATCCTTAATCTAGTTTGCTAGATAATGAACTGAAGCTGAGTAATAGTAACTCTAGAGACCCGTGGATTCGATATTTATTACTTGTGCCACTATACTGTAGTCCCTTTCATTGGTTACACTTGGCCATTGTTAGGTGTTGTGTTTTAGCGTGTCAAGTTTTTGGCGCCGTTGCCGGGACTTTCTAGATTATTAGGAAAGGCAGAAGTTTGTTACTTTAGCGTTTTTCTTTTCTTTTCCATCCTTGCTTTTCACTTGGGTGTTTTTGTTTTTGTTGGTGCAGATCTGAATCATGGATCCTCATGGCTTCTCCAACCATTGGGGGTATCCACCACCATCGGAGTGGTATTACCCCGAGACTTCCTAGAGCAATCAAGGAGGAGAAGACTATGGATTCGGGTTCCAATACCAACCCCCTTACTACGGTGAACAATCAGACCCCTGGGCATATCAAGAACAATCTCCTTATCAAGAAGAATTTCTCCCACAACTAGAAGGGCCATCGGAGCTGGAGTTAGCCATGCTGGCCTTCACGGGCCATTCTGCAGAGCCATGCTACACTCCACAACTAGATCCTAACTATGAATTGAGGCTTCTCATGGAGCAGTTTGCTCGAGACACTGAGAGATCATGCTCCAAGATGGATCTTTGTACCCAGTCCTATCGTGAAACAGAGGAGATCCTCCTGAGCATTAAGAAGAGCCTCGATGATCTTGAGAAATCTTATGCACAGCCTTCTCAAGATCACACTTCTGCTACTATACTAGAAAAGGAGGAGGAAGACGAAGGCTACAAAGACATTGTGGAGCAGACAGAAGTTGTCACAGAGAGCTCCCGTGATGATCATGATCAGGAATGTCCCGTCGTAGCCCACCACACCTTCCCACATCCCACACTGAGCTTTGAAGAGGCGGGCATGAGTGAGGAGATGCAAGATGATCTCATCAAAGAAATTGCTTGGCGACTTGCCCTCCAATCCGTGTTGGAAGAAGAAGAGCAAGAAAGGGTGAAGAAAGAAGTTGTGGAGGATGACGAAAGTGTAGCAGAAGGAGTTCTTGATTTTTTCCCAGGGGTGATACCACATGAAGAAGGAAGGGGGGTGAAGAAGCAATTGGCGTCCAGGCCGAGGACGAAGTTGAGGTAGCATAAGCTTGCACCGACCATGAATTACATGTGATATCTCCACCAAACTTCGAGGAACTGCTTAGCAAGGACCCATTTGCATTGTCTCTTTGCCAGACCAAGGCCACATCGACATCGGTCCCTCTTGGTGGACGCGATGGTGGTCAATCGATATTGTCATATCTGGTTTGGGGCAATGAGACGAGAGAAG